TGAAAGTGTACAGGCGCGTATAGCTCAACAACAATACGTTCTAGCTGTGAACAACCACATTAGAAATATTATTTTATCATATATATCAACATTCGCATGCAAACAAATTTAAAGATTATTGCAAATGGAATCATTTTTACAAGAAATTAAAAAAATGCAGCATAGAGAGACGTATCAGGAATACAGCAATATCGCAATTATTTGCAATAAGAACATTCATTACATGAGAAGATTTCGAAAAAAAAAACTGAACAACGAAGTTTCATGAAAACGTTGAAGATATGGGCGAGAATTTTTTGAAAATTCACGTAATATCACATATAATCATCAATATTTTTTACAGAATATCACAGCTTGGAGAAAGGATTTAATGTAGCGAACTGTCATTCACCATCTGAGAATTATCTACCGGAAATCAAACGCATCATATTTGATGTCGAGACTGTCATCCTCTAGCGGTGAATGATTTCCATCATTGCTCGTTTCTTTTGACCATGGCACTGGTGCTTTATTCGGCTGAAAGTTCCCATTTCCAGAAAGACTGACCTAATCGGTTCAAATTCTGATTCAGACGACATCAGAGCAGTTACATTTTCAAGTCCAAACGAAAACAACACTTTCTTTATTCGTCAGCCTTTTAACAAAGATGTGTTTTCAATGTGCCGGTTTTTTTTGAAGTTCTGTTATAATGCTACGATCCATCGAGTGAAGTCTGATAGTCAGTTTCAACTTTGAAACTAAAAAGCGATTTGCAAAAATTTCAGTTGTTTACTTCAACATTGTAAAAATTGAAAACTGATGCCTGCTTTAGCCTGAAACTTCATATTGTGAAATCCTTATTAACATTCGTTGCTCTTGTGAGAAAATGTGATAATAATACTCACAGCGCTCGCAGAATCTTTACCAACCACAATATTGCGAAGATCGTCTTCACTGAGTTCTTGTCGTTTTGAATAAGCAGTCTTCAGTTGAGCATCCAGCTTAGAGTCGATCCTTAAATACAAATATTCAATCATGTAACCGAAAAGAACACAAGCCTCCTAGATCGGAAGACGATTAACTTTATAATCGTATCAGTTTCAAACTTGCTCAATTACAGTACTAAGGCATTTTGTAATATGGCAAGAAAATTTTGTGAATACCTGAAATTACTAATACCACTTTGGGTCATGATGAAATTGCACTGCATCGGTAGAATGAGCCGGATGAAGTTCATTGTCGGACCTAATACCATCATATTATGGCCCAAAGCAAGCGGTCGGAATATGACCTCCTAAAAACATCAGAATTATAACAGGAACAATACTGCAATTAACAAGTATCCACGACCCGTCTAAATGGTTGATATTCTTCTGACGTAAACTTTCCGTACCAAACCCAAGTACCTTTCAGGTGGTACTTCCCATATCCCTAAGAA